TTTACTAAGAAGAATACATTCCAGCTCCATCCATGTAAACATAAAAGAGGTAAAGTCTCCATTTTTTGAAGGCTGCATAATATTCCATGATATACATATACACATATACTACAATTTATCAATCCATTCATGGGTTGACGGGCACTTGGGCTTCTTCCATGACTTGGCAATTATGACCGCTTTGGTAATGATTCATTTTTGCCTTGGAGTAGAGGCTCTCAAACTCTCTCAACTGCATCATGGCAAACTTTAGTATGTTGAGCTGAGATGCAGGGTGCACTGCAAGGAATGTATGTATTGCCAATAATTATTGTGGCAACATTTGCAAATGCTTTTCCGTAAAGGAATTTCGCACTAACAGAAAAGTTGCAAGCATAGTTCAAAGAACTCTGTCCTCCCAGAATCATCTGAGAGTAAGTTGCCAAACTGATGTCCCATCATCCTTTAATGCTCTGATGTGTATTTCTTACAAACAAGGACATTCTCTTAGACAACCTCAATCCATCCTTCAAAATCAGGATGTTAACACTGAAGCATTACTACCATTTCATCCTCAGTCTCTATTCAAGTTTTTCCTCTGAAAGATAATGACCTTGTTCAGACTCAAGTGATGCCTTTAGTTGTCACTGCTCCTCACTGTCCTTCACTCTAGAGCCGTTACTCTTTCTTTGACTTTCATGACCTTGAGACTTAAAGTTCGTAGACCAATCATGTAGAAAGTCCATGAACTTGTTTTTGCACAATGCTTCCTTGTGATTAGATTCAGAGTATGCACTTGGGCAAACCTGTCACCATGTGATGCTGTTTTCACTTCATGGCATCGCACAGGAGGTATATAATTCCAATTTGCCCCATTATTGATGATTTTCACATTAATCATCTGATGAAGGCGGTGTCTGCTTGGGGTTATAGGCATTTCATGGAGGAGACACTTGGAAACTGTGTAAATATCCCATTCCTTATCATAATTTTAACTTATTCATTTATTTGTATCCATGTAGATTCATGATTTCCTGTTTTGTCCAATAGGTTATAATTCATCACTGTAATTACTTAGCGTCATGCTCAAATTATCCCACGTTTTAACTCTGACACACTGTGGGTGGGAATGTAAATTAGTACAACATCTATGGGAAACTGCCATGAGATGTCTCAAATAACTACGATTAGTACTACCAGATGATCCAGCAATCCCACAGAAATACCCAAAGGAAAAGAAATCATTGCATCAAAAGACATGCTGTCTTCTTTATGACAGCACCGTTCACAGTAGCAAGGCTGTGGTATCAACACGTGTTGGTCAGTGGGTGATTAGATAAAGGAAAAGTAGCCTGTGTACACAGTGGAATACTATTCACCTACAAAGAAGAAATCGTGTCTTTTGCAGAAACAGGGGTGGAACAGGAGGCCACTATAAGTGAGACAAGTCAGATACAGAGAGACAGACATGGCAGGTTCTCACTCAACAGCAGGAGCCAAGTAGAAGGTACAGAAAGACACAGATGGAAGAATGACGGACAGTGAACTTGGGGGGTGAAGGGGTGGGAGGGGGTGGGTCATGAGTGCAGAAGCTCTGACTTCTCCACTGCACAATCTATGCCTATGGCAAAATTGCACTTGCACCCCATAAATACAAACAAAGAAAGAAAAAATGGATCCCACGTTTGGGCAACTTAGGCCACTACAGGCTGGCTCCTGTGATCCATTGACCTATTCCCATCAGCCTTGAATAGTCTCTTGCTTTCTGGCACAAAAAATTTTCTAAGCTAATCTATTTTCTCTGTTCTAGTCCCGGAATCATATGACTTTTCAAGAAGCCCTGGCTTATACTGGGGGAGAATGGTATTTAGCAGCCAAGAGCTGAGCACTAGAGGATATATGCATGTGTACGTAAATATGTACATAGACATATGTGTATATATGCTCAATATTGAAAACCAGGAGGGGACACCGACGTTTCTGATTTCATCGTAACACTGCAGGGTCTGGTCCAGTTTCCTCCCAGTTCCTATCTGTCTGCTGGCTCTCTTTATCAGGGATATGCCTGCCCCATTGTTGAGGCTGCCCCTCCCATGTGGATGTCGTCCTCACCACCCAGGCCACACCTGCACCAGCTCCCTCCTCTCATGGGAAGCTGTATCACCCTGCTGGGGCCTGACACCCCACTCTGGGCTACCAAGCCCCCCACCTCCTTCACCATCGATGCTTCCCTTCCTCCGAATTTGGCTTTAGGCCCCAAGTGTTCAGGAAAGGGCAGGAAGGGTAAAGCAAAGGAGAATCAAAAGAGCTGCAAATAATTTTTCAAAACAAATCATAGCACGTCCTCTTCCACTCAGTTATGTCCCGATGCACGTCCTTTCCCCACTGGAATGCAAGCGCCAGGAGATGGAGCCTGCGACTGTCTTATTTACCACGCTGGCCCTAGTACCTAGCTCATTTCCTGACACAAAATAGGTGTGTCTAAAACGTTTGAATCCATGGATAAGGGAATAGCACAAGAAAAGAAAAAGAGCCTTATAGCTGGCACGTTGGGAAATGAGCATAACATATGACTCAACTTATCGGAGCCTCAGCCTGAAATCTGACGGTGTGTATCACATCCAGGACAGTGTGGGCACCTGGTGGGTATTTAAGACCTGCTTGGCCAGTGCAGAGTCCTGAGGGAAATGTGTCTGATGCGTGTATTTCCTCTGTCATGTGCATCATGATGGAGAAAGAGGTTGGGAACTAGGTCTTAAATGATTCTTAATCTGGGGCAGTGCCTGTGGCTCAAAGGAATAGGGTGCTGGCCCCATATACTGTAGGTGGTGGGTTCAAACCCAGCCCTGACCAAAAACTGCAAAAAAAAAAAATTCTTAATCTTTTCCTGTTGCTTATAACAGAATACCTGAAACTGAGTCATTTATAAAGAAACAAAATTTACTTCTAATAATTCTGGAGACTGGGAAGTCCAAGGTTGAGGGCAGCATCTGGTGAGGGCTGAGAGTGACAGTGCCGTCCCTCTGCCTCTTCTTAGGAGCCTTCAGTCCCACTTCCAGGATAGCTAACCCATTAACTGATCAACTAACCAATCCATTAATCCATGACTGAATTAACCCATTCACCAGGACAGAGCCCTCATGACCCAGTCACCTCTAAAAGGCCCCAACTCTCAGTCCTGCCACATTGGGAATTAAGTTTTAATGTGAGTTTTGGGTCAAACCATAGCAATGACGAAACAGGCTTAGTAGATTTCACGTGATGCTAACTCAGGGAATGAGCTCACTGCTCACTTTGAGCGTAGCAAACACTTGACATTTTGCAAATGTTTCTTAAATAAGTAAAGTGCAGCTATCAGAGACAGAAATGGAGTTGGATAAACTCAGGCTAAGAAATTTTAGGAGAAAAAAGAAATTAATTAAAATATGGGGTAAGACGGGCTGTGTGCAAACACAGAAGGAAGAATTCTCAGGGTCCCAGCAGAGATCAGCCACTAAAGACAAAGAGAAGATGCCGCAGATCCACTCTGATTCTCACCTCACCCTCTGAACAGACTAAGAATAGGTCCTCATTTCAAGACTGAGTGCTGTAATTCAGTGAGCTGTTAACGCAATTCCCTAGTTTCTCTTTACGTGTTACTGTGCTTCCTCCTCCTAGCCGGGAGGACTGGTTTTCCAACAAATATCACTCAGTCACTTCCTCCACCAGGAGGACTGTGACAAACAGTTCCCACAAACTTCTAAGCTGAAATATTTGGGCTATTTCACATCACCCTGAAATATACACTGTTCATTCATTGCATAGATGGTGGTTGCCTACCCTGCAAGGCGCCCTCATGGGTTGGCAGGAGGTGTGATGCCGACAGGCAGACAGGAGTCCTACCCTCCCTCGGGGAGGATGAAACTAAGGGTGGACAGAGGTGTGGGGACAATGAAGGAAAGGGTCTGAGCTAAACTGCCTGAAACAAATGGGAGCGTGGACGTTTTAGACTAATGAATCAGACCATGCACTCACTGTTTTTGCTTGAAATGTTGGAACCGCAAAACATACTTCCAAGAGCTGGCGGAAATGATGGTTTTGGTCCCCACCATATTCACTGCCCCAGTAGTGAATACTCGGGCAGTGATTATAATCCACTGTGTTTGACACTGCCCAGACTACTTAACTTTGCCTCTGCTGGCGCTCCATCTGTGAGGCAAGGTTGCTAAACTATTCAGAAGTAAGGCATATGAGGAAAGGTTAAGCTGATGGAGGGAGGTTGCTGGGTAATTTAAATAATGCCGTTCAGACCTTAAAACTACAGGACTGATGCTGGGCTGAGAAACTCTGCTTTTGATTTGGGACCAAAAGTACTTGTAATAGTCAAGTCCCTGAAAGGGGGCAGAATTAGTATCATTGTAGTAATATTATGTCGCGACTGCAGTGAAACAGTAGAATTCGAACAGTAGAACGTGCAGTGTCAGGGCAGAGAGCACCAAGACGCCCAGGATCTGAGGCTCAAATGGCATTTTCAGTCCCTAAAGTATTTCCAAGGTTGGATGTCGGGAGATAGAATAAAAGGTCTCTTGAGGCCACAGGTAAAGGAAGGGCTATAAACACAGACTGACTAACAGTCTATTTCCTGCTTTTTATTTTATTTTATTCTTTGAAAAACAAAAAGGGAATTGCTAATATGCAGGCCAGCCTGGTGCTGCTGCCCGTGGGCTCTGAAAAGATTCTCAGGGTCTCTTTGGGGTTCCATGTCCTGCTGTACAGGGCAAGGAACATAGGACCTATTTTCTTGTTTGTTTTTTTGAGACAGAGTCTCACTCTGTCACCCTGGATAGAGTGTTGTGGCATCATCATAGCTCACAGAAACCTCAAACTCTTGACCTCAAGAGATCCTCTTGCCCGAGCCTCCTCAGTAGCTGGGACTAAGGCCCAGCTAGTTTTTCTATTTAGTTGAGATGAGGTATTGCTCTTGCTCAGGCTGGTCTTGAACTCGTGAGCTCAGGCAATCCACTGGCCTCAGCCTCCCAGAGTGCTAGGATTACAGGCGTGAGCCACCGTGCCTGGCTGAAAACAGGACCTATTAATAGAAGTGGATTATCGGTGCTCCACAGCCAACCTTAACCCTGCCAGGCAAAGCATTGTCCCTTGAAAGTCAGATACAGCCAACTGACATTTCTGGAGACTCTACTCTGTGCCAGACCCTGGGTACTGGGATAAAAGTCAACATTTGGGGCATCCACCAGGGGCTAATGGACACGACGTCTCACCCACAGGACCTGATCTGTGCAGAGACCTTCTGAGTATTTTCCTTCATAGAAAATAGAATCTTGCTTCTCATTCGTTTCCCATTCTTATCAGTTCAAGTTTTTCGGATGCGTTAATAACCATATATCTCATTTTCCACCCATCCAGACTCCTTGCTCCTCCCCGTCTGGTCTGGGGAGAACTCATAAATGTCGTTGGTCACAAACCCACTCTCCACGCTCGCCAGCGTCACGAACCCGCTTTCCGACGGGTTCACGGCCACGTTGTCGTAGTCACAGGATGCGTCGTCAGGAGAGGCATCTCCGGAATACACCCAGAACGAGATATTCTTCAGGTCGGGCCGGGGTTCAGCTAAGTCAGCTTCGCTTTGTTTTCTAATGACATTGTAAACCTCTAAATCTGGGCTGTTCTCTTGGTGAGGAGAGGGCCAGATGGCGTGTTGCTCCTTTGTGCTAAGACCAGGCTGCTCCTGTTTTCTGGGAGGAAAGATAACCAGGGTTGAGAACCGTAGAGCAGGTGATTGAGACGATCCCGGTTCTTCCTGTCCAGACTGGAGGGAGAAATCTTGGGCGATCTCTAGGCCACACTTCTCAGCTGTGTAACTCACAGGCTTTCTAAGGGCTCAGGGTGGGGGAGTGAACCAGGGAGGTGTGGTTATAATCGAAGTGATGGTGTATCTGTCACTCATTGCTGTTGAAGTATAGGATGGGGTTATTGTTCTGGGGTCCCTGGAGTTCCAGGGATAGAATTGAATGAGAAAAAAAATCACATTTTAAAAAAAACTCATCTCTAAGTGAAAGTTAGCATGTCCTTCCATTATAAATTAATGGAATAGAATTCATATAATATCTTTGACATGATCACCAACGGAAATCATAGATAGTTTCACACCACATCACAGTTAGTAAAGCTGCCTTGAAAAGGTTCACCTTCATCTCTACTTAAAAATTATGGTAATCATACCCGCCCTAAATAAAGGTGCATTAATAAAGAAGCACAGGTATTACTGAATCAGTTTTTGGAAGTATTTTGCAATATAACAGTACAATTACTTCCTTTGCGACTTTATGTATTTAAAGATGTTATTCTGGAAGGAGTCCCTAGGCTTGCCCAACTGCTATAGCCGTCTGTGGCACAAAAAAGGTTAAAAACCCTCAGAATAGATAGACCTTGATTCTAGAGCTACAATTCCTGAATCCTGGTGAGGTGCTAAATTGAGTCAGGAAGGGAAATCAAGAACTGCCTGCTTGGGCAGTGCCTGTGGCTCAGAGGAGTAGGATCAGGCCCCATATGCCGGAGGTGGTGGGTTCAAACTCAGCCCTGGCAAAAAAACCCCAACAAAACAAAACAAAAAAAACCAACTGCAGAGTAAGCAGTTGTAAAATATATCTATAATTTTTAAAACTCATTTCTACTTTTAGATTCAAAGGAAATAACTAATAAAAATGATCATAATAACAGCTAACATTTTTGAGTGCTTACTATTTTTTTTTTTTTTTGGAGACAGAGTCTCACTCTGTTGCCCACACAGAGTGTCGTGGCACCCTCACAGCTTAATGCAACCTCAAACTCCTGGGCCCAAGTGATCCTCCTTGCCTCAGCCTATTGAGTAGCTGGGACTACAGGTCCATGCCACCATGCTCAGTAGTAAAAGTATGATTTCTGTTAGAGATCAAGTCAAAGATATTATTATGTTAATTCTTAATAATAATTTTTATTAATTCAAGTCAAAGAAATTATTATATTAATTCATAATGGAAGGGCATGCTAACTTTCACTTAGAGATGGGGGTCTTGCTGTTGCTCAGGCTGGACTTGAACTCTTGAGCCCAAGCAATCCCTCCACCTTGGCCTCCCAGAGCACTAGGATTACAGGTATGAGATACTGCACCCAGCCACTGTCTGCCTATTCTGCATGTGTTAACCACTTTAATTCTTAGAATATTCCCAGAAGGAAGTTATCATTAACTGAGTAGTTTCTTTATTAGAATTTTACTAATTTCATCTCAATTGGTCATGAAAGGGAGTTAAATCTTAAATTAGACCAAGGCTTTCCTGTTGTAAAATGAGAATCCGAGACGTCTGTGTGTCTCATTGATGGAGAATAAAAAGATAACTGAGAAGAACTCTGGGTACCTAAAAATGGTGACATATGATGCTGACCACAAAGAGAGGCTGTCCCGGCTCCCTGGCAGAGCTATTTTACTGCAATCTATACTTATGCAGTCAATGAAAAGAAAAATCAGTTAAAAGGAATTAGGCCCTTTTCACTTTAAATTAAGTGCTGTAGTTGGACGTGCTTACCAGAACGCTTTGGGGCAGTCATCTTTTAGCTGGCTGGCTATTAATTCCTTCACTCACCCCACAAACATTTTTGGAGGGAGAGCAGAACACACCATGGGTGACATGTGGGTGCTCAGGGTGTGAATGAGACAGTTTCACTTTTCAAGTCATTTAAAATCTTTTACCCTTACAACGTAAACAATGTAAGATCACCCTCTTTCTACAACTCGGCACAAATGCATGGTATTTCTGAGTGCCCTGAGGCTGTCCGAGAATTTACTCTAAATTGGCAATGGTGATTCTCTCAGAGCTGCCCCTGCTTTCCCCCCCCAATATTAAGGGGGTATAAATGTTTTTGGCTACATGGATCGTCGTGCTGCAGTCACAGTTACAGGTATGCCCCTCACCCAGATAACATTCGCAGTACTCATTAGGCAGGTTTCCCCTCCCCTCCTTCTCCCTCTCCGCTGTCTGATTTCCCCTGCGTTTTCTCAGACCCTCCCCCTCTGTGCACGTGTGCTCGTCAGTTAGTTCAGGTTTAAGTACATGTGGTGTTTCTTTTTCCATTCTTGAGATACTTCACGTAGGAGGATGGTCTCCAGTTCCATCCAAATTGCTGCAAAAGGCCTTAATTCATCCTTTTTGTGGCTTCATATACCCCCTGGTCTACCTATCCCAGGTTTTATTAACTCACTTATGGACTGATGGGCACTTGGTTTGATTCCGCATCTGTGCGGTTGTGAACTGTGCTGCCACGTCACGGCTTTTAATAAAGTAACAGCATTCGGATCTCAAAGGGGGTGAAAGATGCAAAGGTTTTACGTGCCTTCTCCTACAGATCCAAACCCACAATAGGACCGTGGCGACCACGAGGAGGAGCAGAAGGGGGATGCTGGGGATTAAGATGTACGCAAGATTCAGGGTGGCTTCTGAAAAGAGAAGAGCACATCATTAGCATTGGTGACGCTTCTGTGTCCTTCCCACCAGGCTCAAAGAAGCAAAATCAACACAGTATTCCAAGGAGCGCATTCCTAGAAGGGGACAAACACACATCAGTCAAAGAGTCTTCTAGTTTCAGCAAATGAGCCTTTTCTACCTATCCTATTCCTGTAGAACAATGAAAATAAGTTTAAATTTTTTTGTCTCTTGCAAATATCAGAAGGGCACTTTTACGAATTAAAAACATTTTTGTTCCTCAGATGAAAGCAATTCCCTCTATCCCTCTATGCTTGTCCTTCTCTCTTAGCAAAGAAGGTGATATTGGGGCAGTGTTGATGCCTTTGCCTTTAAAAACAGCCACAGTAGTTCCCAAGGCGGGGACTGGACAGAGAGAAAAATAAGGGAGTCAGTAGTCTCAGAGTCATTACCAGGAAAGAGGTGGTCACAGGAAGCGCATGAATTAGACCATAAAACCTTCCCATCTTTCATGACTAAGACCAACTGGATTCAGCTGGGTCCATGAACTTGACTGTGAAGCACAGTTAGAGGTCTGCTCTTCTGAACTTTCTAGTCATTTTAGACTTAGAACCAAAGCCTCTTCCCTCAAGGGGCTTTGGGAGGAATTGAGGAATTGAGAGATGAAACCCTTTCTTACTCTCACTGATCCAAGATTCCCGGCCATCCAGAAGCTGTATTTTTTTTTTTTTTTATTCCATGAGGCTGCAGACATGACAACCATCAAAGAACAAACTATCAAAACTTGCTTTAAATACCATGTCAGTAACAGTGAGCAGTAGAAATACACCCACCTTTGCACAGAACTTTGTATTTTTTATTTTTGCAGTTTTTGGCCGGGGCTGGGTTTGAACCCACCACATCCGGCATATGGGGCTAGCACCCTACTCCTTTGAGCCACAGGTGCTGCCCAACAGCACTTTGTATTTTTTCAAAGCATTTCCACAAAATATATCTCTTGTCTAATAAAGAATTTCACTGCTCTTTGTCTGTGTTCCTTGAAAGGAGGCTATTAGTCCTTGGAATTTTCCAAGTACTAGGAATGACTCTGTTATGCATGAGCCCCGCAGACCATACCAAAGTTTATTACAAGGAGATGTGTCAGGGTGGAGCCTTGGTGGTGCTGAAAGCCTAGCTGTGTGATTACAGGGTTGGGGCTATGAGCTAAGTGACACCATCCTGACCTCCTCTGCAGACTGAGTTCCACACTGCCAGGGAGCACATGAATCGTGCTCAGTAATGAAACTCCAATAAAACCTCTGGACACCAGAGCTCAGTGGAGCTTCCTTGTTGATAAGCCAGGAGGATGAGGATCCATGATGATCCATCCCGATTCTATGAGGAGAGGACGTGGCAGCTCCCCGTCTGGCACCCTCCCTGACCTCCTCCCTGTGTCTCTGCATCTGAGTTCCTGACTTGTACAGTAAAATGTAGTCATGAGTATAATATCTGCTTGCATTCTGTAAGTTGTTCTACTGAATTATCAAACCCGAGGTAGGGTGGGTGGGTTGTGGGCACCCCTGGGTTTGTGGCCAGTTGGTCAGAAATGCACGTGGTAGCTGACATCTGAAGTGAAAGCAGTCACGCTTTGAACTGTGCCCTGTGGCTTTGGGGTCTGAGCTAACTCTCACTGAATTGATACTACAATATTGCAATATCTATTCCATTTTATGGACACAGTGGTGATCTCAGGCAGGTAAGAAAAATATTGTTGCTTCTGTTATACAAATAATTAAACTGGTGCACAGAGAAGTGGGGTTTTAAAGCTGCCCAGTGATAAAACCCCAGATTTTCCACTCTCAGAGTGAAGTTGAAAGCCCATTATTACTCCAACTTATTGCCCCATTTTCTTTTGCCTTTTATGATTTAACTTTTAAAACATTTTTGTCCATTCCCTCTATCTGTTTTGCAGATGAATGTTAATCACAGACTTCTGCTCTTATTTCTCCATATCCACTTTCCATTCTACCCCCGTCCTATCTCCCACGACCTCCAGGACCCCTAGGCTCAATCTTCCTGCAGATTTTTTTTTTTTGCCTCCTGTCTAGTCTAATCCCCCCAATTGTCTCGAGATAGCTCCATTTGCATATTTCACCAATGAAACATTACATTTATTACAGTTTTGCAAAGGCACAGACGTCCTATCCAGTTCCATTTTTAAGTAGCTGTGAGAAAGCACCCAGTAGGGAATTTAAACATGGGTAATTTCTGATCCAAGTAGTGTCCTTATCTCTTTTTCCCAGGAGGGTTTTGCACCTACCTTTATTTTCTTTAAATGTTTCTTTGGCATCTTCTTCTGCCTGTGTTTCTTCTGGAAGTATGGGTCTTGCTGACTCTGTTGCCTCACCTGGAGAGAGACACATGAGAACTTGGAGAAAGGCTTCACAATCCAGATGTTCTCTGGGGTCCCACTGTGTTCAAAGTGGTATTCAGGCCAGGCATGGTGGCTCATGCCTATAATCCTAGCATTCTGGGAGGTTGAGGCGGGGGTGGATTGCTTGAGCTCAGGAGTTTGAGACCAGCCTGAGCCAGAGCAAGATCCCATCTCTAAAAATTGTTGGGTGTTGCAGTGGGCACCTATAGTCCCAGCTACTTGGGAGGCTAAAGCAAGAGGATTGCTTGAGCCCAAGAGTTTGAGGTTGCTGTGAGCTATGATGCCATGGCACGCTACAGAGGGTGACAAAGTGAGACTCTGTCTCAAAAACAAACAAAAAACCAAAGTGGGATGCAGAGAAGTAGTAGCAATTTGACCAGTGTCCCCTATAAACCTAGGGAAGTAAAGGGCTGAATTTGCTGCCCTAGAAATTTGTCTTCATCTTTTTGGTGAGACCCTTGCTGCCAGGAATCAGGTACCAAGATAACGAACAAGCAGCTGCCAGGGAGGACTGTGGGGCCAAGGCAAAGGGCCAATGACTCACTTCTACCCCATAAACTATCAGTTTAGCTCCTTTCTTATCTCATTAGATTAAATTATTCCTTTCATAGTGTGGGTATTGCCAAGTAACACCCCAAACTGAACTTGCACCCTAGAGCATGAGGCTAATGGACTGTGGCACTGGCTGGGTGTGGGCTCTTCCTGTCCAAACCCTCTTCGTTAACCCAGGTGGTCCTTGGGTTGAATAGTCTCATCTAAAGGACAGATGGTTCTAAATCTATGAAGAGCGGCTATGAAACAGCCCCAATTAACCCGAATCTCAAGTGACAGGCTTACCTCCAGGCCTCGTGGAAGGAACTGTTGGTTTCTCTGTAGCAGAAAAAAAAATAGAAATAATAACTACATTTTCATGCCATCGGAATGAAATCAGCTTCAATATGGTATCCATTTATTTTTCCACTCTGTGTTATTTTAAATATTTCCTAGAGCCTCGGGAAAGTCAGGTTACACAGACAACCTACGCCCAATATTTTTTCTTTTGACTGGGAGGATGTCCTCATGTTGTGAATCTCTTATGCTTATTAGATGCTCTGGAGTTCATAGGGACAGAGTCCTTTATTGTTACTAGATATCAGGAGCTAGGTTTAGTAAGTCAAAAGAATTGCATCTTCCCAAAGACTAGCTTTACTTAAGTGTTTTCTTTTTCTTTTTAAAAAAGCATTTAGAACAAATAGCCCAGCGTTGTGGCAGGCGCCTGTAGTCCTAGCTACTCGGGAGGCTGAGATAAGAGAATTGCCTAAGCCCAGGAGTTGGAGGTTGCTGTGAGCTGTGATACCACAGCACTCTACCAAGGCAATAAAGTAAGACTCTGTCTCTAAAAAAAACAAGAAAACAAAAAACAAAAAACAAAAACAAATACAAGAATTTTAAAATAGACACAATAGTAGAAAGACTATTATAATGAACCCCTACTTACCCCTATACTTCACCTCCTATCATCATATACCTAATAAGCCCTATTCCTCCCCCACTACCCTCCTGACCTGGATTGTTTCAAAGCAATCTAAGACACTTTATCGATTCATACTGAGAGTGTTCTGGAGAGCAACAAATGCTTATTTCCAAGTAGTGGAAGTGGTTGAGGGGCTGGGTAGAACACTGGCTAACACCAGGGCAGAGACAAGTGATCTAGGACTGTGAGTTATTCTAAATATTTCAAAGAACCTCAGGAAAGTCAGATTACACAGACAACCTATATCCAATACTTTTTCTTTTGACTGGCAGTATGTACTCATCTTGCGAATCTCTTATGCTTATCAGATGCTCTGGAGTTCATAGGGATAGAGTCCTTCAGGGAAAGACTTTAGAAACTACAGTCCCATTAGACCTATTCTGAAATTTCATTTAGAAAGGACAGAAACTTTTAGGCATCTTCTCATTCATGTATGTGTATAAAGATGGTGCCAATTCATTCATTTGTTTTAATAAAACCTACTTGCACAGTGTGTACTATATGATAGAAATTGTTCTAAGTGTTTTATAAAAACAAACTCAATGAATCCTATCTGGTAATAGCCTTGGGACGTAGCCTTTATTATTATTCTGGTTTTGTACATGAAGAAACCAAGATACAGAAAGATTAAGTAATTTGCCCAAATCTCATAGTTAATAAGCAGCTGAACCCTGATTTCAACCAAATAAATGCAAAGGAAAATTACAATAGTCAGGAGATATAACTTTGCTTAGTAGAGATAAACAGCAAATGAGAACTAATCCCACACTTTTAATTCCTTTAATCTCAGCTATAGGATGGCCATACAATCTGGAAATTCAGGAGACTATGAATGTTAATTTTGTGATATCATATTGACATGCATAGCATATTTGATGCTATTTCAAGATCTGTTCATATTGATGTCCCTCCATCATTCAATCCAGTGAGCAAAACTGCCATCAATGTTGCACATCTGTGCGACATTTCCACCCGCCCCTGCGCTGCATCTGTGGGGCTGCAAATGACTTGTCTCTGATTTCCTCTGAATATGCCTTTAGCACGTTCCATAAATAACTGGGTGTTCAGATCCCGCTAGCGTGCTGTCTCCATGGCATGCCACAGAGACAGCACGCTACATGGCCACGTTCTCAAACCTAATTTTAGGTGTTATCATTCACCCAGTCCCTCGCCACTCGGGCATAACGGGATGGTGTGCCATCCCATTGCCACCACACAGAGGAGCTTCCCTGTGCCCAGCAAGGGGTGTTTCCAGACTTCATGCCAACCATCTAGTGAAGGGGACAAACTTGTAACCAGATAAAGTACTGATCTTCACAGGGAGAACGCCTACCCTAGTTGTGAGGGACCCTGGAAGGCTCCACAAAGGAAGTTACTTTTTAAACTTATTTTGAAATAATTTCAGATTTATCAAAATTTGCAAGAATAGTACAAACAGGCTTGGCACCCATACTCAGTGGTTAGGGCGCCGGCCACATGCACCGGGGCTGGCAGGTTCAAACCTAGCCTGGGCCTGCTAAAAAACATTGACAACAACAACCAAAAATATAGCCAGGCATTGTGGTGGGCACCTGTAGTCTCAGCTACTTGGGAGGCTGAGGCAAGAGAATTGCTTGAGTGCAAGAGTTTGAGGTTGCTGTGAGCTGTGACGCCACAGCACTCTACTGGGGGCGACGGAGTGAGACTCTGTCTCAAAAAACAAAAAAAGAATAGTACAAAGAATTCTCGCATATCCTTCCCCATATCATTTTACTACATTTCATTTACTTCATCATCCTATCTCCTTTCTTTCTCTCCGTGTGTGTATGTATATCTATCTCTCTACATAGACGTATATTAAACACACACATATACCTCAATATCTATATATACACATATATAACTTTTTTCCTGAGAATAAGTTACAGACATGCTGTCCTTTTACTCCCAAAGACTTCAATCTATATTTTAAAAGGGAGTAGGGGCATTCTCGTACATAACTAAAGTACAATGATCAAAACTAAGAAATCAATATTGACGTGATACTATTATCTAATCTGCAGACCCTCTTCAAATTCTGCCAACTGTCAATTATAGAATCGTCATCATCATCACATCATGGTCCAGGATCCAGTTGAGATCACCTGTTGCACTTACTTGTTATGAGAGAAGGTGATGTCTAACTTGAACCCAGAGGGTGAGAATGAGTTGATGGGAAAGGGGGAAGGGTGTCCAAGCGCAGCAAGCAGCAATGACCTTCTGGGGAGCTGCGTGGAGTACAGAGTATTGGAAGAGGATGGGAGAGGAATTAGAGTGGTGAGAATTGAGGCTGGACAGGTGGGCCGGGGTCTGATTATGCTAATCCTTTCCCAGCGTGCTGAGGTGTACGAACTTATCTCAATGACAGGTGACCACAGAAAGGCCATGTGTTAGTTTTTCTTCACCTGCCCACCTCCCTCTGCTGGCTCCACTGGCTATCCTTCTCTGTGCCCAGGGAGGTTGCTTTCTGTGAAATATTTACTGTGGATCCCTGATTTCTGATTGTACTTCCAAAGGTAGGCAAAGGCAGGAGATCAGAGGGCGGGAAGAGAGAGGTCTCCGTAGCTGTTCCTCATGTCCCTTCCCATGTGGGCGTGGTTTGACAGCTCTGATCACAGCTCCTGCTGGGTGGGTCCTCTGCCGTGACCCCAAGCTTTCTCTGGCTTCTGCTAAAACCATTCCTTCCATTTGCCCTTTACTACCCAGGCAGGGTAACAGCTTCCCATCACGCCAGTTCCCATGCACTTAACCATCTCTCGGTCTTGGCCTCCACTTCAGCAAATGTCCTTTTTATCTCGCTCTCCTTATCAAACCCTTTGCGTGTGCTGCTTTTTCCTGCCAGGATTTAGTGTAACTAATACAGGCCATAACAAAAAATAACGAAGACTGTGATTTTCTTTTTCAGAAAAGGTACTACGTTCAAAAATAAAAGGGTAGTAAAGCACATTTCAAAACCTCACATTTCAAAAAAAGGTGAAAAAAGTCTAGAAGTTTAAACCATGGAGCTGATAGAATATAATTAACAAAGTGATGGAAAGCCAGTTCGTGCCAAGCGACTGGCTTTCACTGCTTTGAAAAGGCAACTTGCTAAGACAATCTTTCTGCTTAAAGGAAAAAGCAACCTCCCTGGCTGAAGACAGCTCTGCATGGTAGGCGGCCAGGTCACTGGAGAGAATTCATCTAAAGGGCAAAGAGGGAGGAAAAACATCTTTTAGCAGCAAAATTTTACCCCGAACCATGGTGCAATTCAAACGATTTAAAAATGATGATTATTTTTTATTTTTGAGACAGAGTCTCATTCCATCATCCTGGGTACAGATGGCATCAGAGCTCACAGCAACCTCAAACTTCAGTTCAAGAGATCCTCTTGCCTCCTGAGTAGCTGAAACTATAGGCACCTGCCACATCTGGCTAGTTTTCCTATTTTTAGTGGAGATGGGATCTTGCTCTTGCTCAGGCTGGTCTCCAACTCCTGAGCTCAAACGATCCACCCGTCTCAGCCTCCCAGAGTGTTAGGATTATAGGCGTGAGCCACTGTGCCTGGCAAAATGACAGGATTATTTAGTCCCAAACTGACTGGTCACTCTACTGTCAAGAAAGAATGCAGAATTGGGGCCAAACAGTTGGCTTATAATGGAGGACTTTGGGAAACCCCAGCCAAGTGAAACTATGGGTTCATAGCCAATTCAAACCCTTACAGATCTGAATGCAAACGCAAGTGGAATTTGCAAGGCATGTATAGTGGATGGTCTGAGGAGTTTAAACCTGCACATCAAAGTGCCTGCCACTTCTGCCCGGTGCTGGTGAAACTGGTACACTGTGTCTTTTACCTCCTCTGGTTGTTATATGTCTACTTAAAGCCCCAGAAAATAACCTGGCCTGTTAGAAAACTTGCAGGAGCCATGGCCAGTTTATTCCAAGCTCTTACAGCCAACCTCACATGTGGAAAGAATAAGCTCTTCCACTTAGAAGGCTTTTCATCTCCTGCAGTTCCCGTAAGTCTTGCTTTAGCCCATGTAACTTAGACCCTTTATTTTTTTCATCCCTTCTCTTAGCATCTGATAACCTTTCCTTTGCTGGAATCACTCCTCAGTGAGAAAGTGCCATTACATTTCCTTTTATGAGAATTCCCAAAGTATAACATCGCTGCCATTGACAGCAAGTTTTCTGAGTGACTGCGTAGCACATTTCTGGATACTAGCAGCTGCTTATGTAATGACAGAGGTCAAAAATTCAGCCGCAGAGCTTGGGAGAGGGGCTCATTACCATCAGCGTATTTGCAAATGAAATTGTTTTTCATGTTGCACCGGTCGTCATTCCACTGGAACATGTAGGGGCCTCCCATGCCTGCAGGTGCCGACGGCTGATGGTACATGACCACGCAGACCTCGCTGCCGCAGGAAGGCTCATCCACGTACCAGTTCCTGCAGAAAAGGGATCAACAGTGCAGGCAGTTGGTGAAGGACACCCCAGCACTTCAAAGCCCTTGTTTTTCCGTCAAGTTCCACCGAGCCATGAACATAAACTTCTGCTTCAAAACACCACACAGAGTCAGGGAGGAGTTGAAGTACAGCCAACCAGTAGAACCATGTGCTTTCCAACATGGCATCACAATCAATCATCTGACGTTTGCCACAGTCTCTGTGCAGGGAGGAATCTGTCATCACATGATGTCTGCAGAGTAATTATGAGGAAAAGCAGCTAGCAGAGCTAGTCTGGACAATCTTATTTCTTTCTTGCTTTTTTCTAATTGGGTTTTGCTTCCCTTTTCTTTTTTTAGCGATTAGATGCACTGAAAAGGTGCATGATTTATCTCAGAGCTTGCCCTGCTCCCATCTCCTGGGCTTTTCAACAACCACAGCTGCCTTCCCAAGCCTGGGAAGTAGATGGGAAATCTAAGCGTGTGAGTAAGACGTGTGAAAGGGTGGAGATGAGAGCAGAAGGCCTATCTGATCCTTTTCAGTTTTTAAGTCCACTTGATCAGGCTGATGAGCCCCTCAGCTTTCAGTGCCAGCTGTCTGTCTGTCTCCCCAGCCCCATGGAGGTGTTCATTTGTGGCCTTAGTGCCACTATCTTGAAATTAGATGATGCCACCCACTTGGACCTGTGTGTGCACATTAAAGCCTTGGAGTCCACAAAGAGTTTAAGTCTTCACGCACCTCCCCAGATGCTGACTCGGGGCTGGCCTGTAGTCGTCCCGGTCAGTCACCTGAGCTCTTCCCTCCGGGGCTCAGGTTTTTCCCTGATGCTCAGAGCAGGGACTGCTACTCTGCCTAGCTCTTGTCAGACCCCTCCACAGGAAAGAGAAAACAGTTCAGAAGCAGGTCCTTGTTGGCACCACAAGACGTCTCTGCTTAAGTCCTGTGTTGCTGTCACCAAAAGGAAAATCCTTGCTGCACTCATTGGCTTGAATTTCCTGGACAATAGCTGAGCTTGCAACACACGTTCCTTGGATGCCATGCTTGGACAGCTGGGGGCCCTGATGGGGGCTGGACTCTGCACCTCATTACTTACCCCATTATTTAGCTCATTTTCAACCCCAATGGGCTCTTACCCTGATTTGCCTTCTTCCTTTCCCCACTGGCCTTATGGCTTGATATTCTTTTGCCCCATAGATAGAAGGAATATTATCCCTGGCACATGATTTCTAGATTTGAGCCAATTCTCAAATTCAGAACTCACTGATGGAGGGAGAGGTCAGGTTTCCAGTAAGAAGGACCGGCAATAATTTTCCCTGTTCTTTCTCCATAAGGGCCTACAGCCATTGACTCAAGGTAAGAAGGAAGATCCAAATATTACAAGGTCTGTTAGACACAGGGTGCAAGTTGATACTAACACTCAGATATGAAGTGTCAGCAAAGACCCATCAGAGTGGGAGTGTATTGGGACCAGATATTAAATGAAAGTCTGGTCCAGGACCATCTCACAGTGAGATTCTAGTCAATGATAATGCTACAGCCCCCAAATATATAACATATAGGTAGTTGGTACAGTTCCATATTTCTTAGCCTGTGATGGGCAGATAGAGCTGCCTGGTCTCTTGGTCCTCCTTGCATAGTAGCCAGCAGCTACTTACCTATGGGGTAAGAAATATCATAGTGGAAAAGGCCAAGTGGAAGCCTCTGAAACCAAACTCTTCCCCACCCTTGCTAAGATTGTAAGTCAGCAATACTATCTTATCCAGGGGAAGACGGCAGCAAGGAGTACCACCCTTAAAGACCCAGAGAATGCAGGGGTGAAATTCCACATCATATCTCTATTTAGTTTGTAGTGTGACTCTTGCAAAACCCAGGATGATATTAGAATAGCACAGAGTGACCCAAGTGAATGCCCCAATTGTAGCTGCTCTATCACATATGTTATCTTTGCTAGAGTAGGTTCACATTTGTATGAAGAGCAGGTGAATATATTGTTTTCCATCTCTATCAGAGAGAGGATCTGAAACAGTCTGTTGGAACAGACAACAGCATATACTTATGGTCTTGCCTCAAGGCTATGGAACCCTCTGTCTAAATATGGTACAAAGAGACCTGGACTTCCTAGACACCTTGCAGAAAATCAGACAGGTCCACTGTATTGCTGATCTCATGATAGCTGGACAAGATGAACAAGTAAGACTCATGTACTTCAGAGGGTTGGAGATAGATCCAATGGAGATTTAGGGACCTAACACGTTGATAAAATCTGTAGGCGTCTGGTGATCTAGACAATACCAGAACATCGCTTTCAAACTGAACTATTGCATCTTGCCATAATTTGAAGAAGGAATCATGGCACTTGGTAGGCCCCTTTGGGTTCTAGAGGTAGCATATTTCACCCCTGGGAATACTGTTCTAGCACATTTACCAGGTGACATGAATGACAGCTATCTTTGAGTGAGATCCACAGAAAAACTCAGTAGTGGGTCTAGGCTGTGTCTGAGCAAACTTGCCACCTAGGATCCCTGATCGAGTAGACCCTATCATTGGAGGTGTCTTGGTAGGGAAAAATAAGGCCTAATAGAATATGGGACAAGCCCAGGGAGAGAATCACAACGTAGACCCTGAGATTCTGGAACAAGGCCATACCCTGCTGAAATTAGTCACTTTTTGAAAAACAACTCCTGGCTCATCATGACTAGGCAATAAGCACCAAGAGGCCATGAAGCACAACCGATCCATCGGGAGACAGGTTTTGCAGACACACCTGACTTCACTCCATTGTGAGATGGAAGAGGTACATCCAGGACTGAAGGGGACCCTGCGAGCAGGTGCAGCAGGCTGCCTTGACACCTGTGCTGTTGTACCACAGCCTCTCCCTTAGCCTACCTGATGCCTGCATGGAGGAATCCCTTACAACTGGCTGATCCAGGCAGCCAGAACATGGTTCATGGGTAGGTCAGCTCAATATGGGAGCACATGCTGAAATGGACAGAAGCTGCACTTCAGCCCCACTCAGAGGTGGCCTTGAAAAAGGGTGGTAAGGGCACAGCTTCTCAATGGCCAGAGCTTTAGTTGGTGTGCCCAGTTAACTGCTCTAGAAAGCGAAGTTATCAAAGCCTGGAGTATAAAGTATATAAGGACTCGGTTGTAAGGCATATAGCATGGCCAGCTGATGAAGAGTCTGAAGAAAATGGCTGGGAGATGGAGGACAAGGAGGTTTTGGATAGAGTGATATGAATAGACAAAAGGGCGTGAGAACAGAGTATGAGAATCTTTCCAGCAGAGGTTAAAGCTTTCTCAAGAGTGTCTACCAAGGGAGAGGCATAAGAAACAACCAGGGTGACAAAATGACTGAGCCAGGTGATGCCAGCCAGCCTGTCATCAGCCACCCCAGTGCTGCTACCATAGACACGTGAACAGAGTAGTACCACGTGATGGTAGAGATGAAGGTCACCAGGGGATCAACAGTTGGGCTCCCACTCACTCAGGCCAATCTAGATCCTGCTACCACCAGCAGGCCAACTTTCCAGCAATAGAGACCACTGCTGAGTGTGTGACACACTAACCCTTGAGAAGGCCAACGCCACTCGGTGGCCAGTTGACTACATTGGAAAGAGGCAATTATGTTCTGATAAGAACAGCCAAAAAATAGGGGTTTGGGTTTGGTTTTCCTGCCATAGGGCCTCAGTCAGCACCACTATCCAAAGGCTTACATAGTATTAAATCCATAGTATTTAATTTAAGCCACATCTCATTGAACAAATGTAACTGCTGTAGAAGGGGTGGGTGTAGGCGCCTGGCCATGGGATTTACCAGTCACGTCACATATTGCACCATCCTGAAGCAAAATGCAGGAGGAACATCAGCCGAGAGGCATGACTGTGTGGGATGGGCACCGTCCTTCAGGAGGTGGTGTACACTTTAATTCGTGCCCTTGACACAGGCCTGTGTCCCTGTGAGAATGAATACCTAGGTCTGAAAGCCAGGGAGTGGAAAGAGGAGTATACGCACTTAGAATCACCCACTTGAGGAATATGTGCTTCTGGACTCTGGAAGTTTAGAGGTCCTCGTTCCCACAGGGGCTACTTCTACCAGAAGTCTTATTAAACTACGAGCTATCACTGCCATGTAGACACTTTGGGTTCCTATGTACAGAGACCAGCTGGTAAGCAAAGGAGTCATTCTTATCTTGGTAGGAGGTAACTGACTGTAATTGTTAGGAGGATGCCGGTTTGCTGTTGGTAATGGGCAGGGAGAAGGCAGCCATGTTATCTGCTGGGGTATCCTTGGTAGTCACTTAACCCATTTTGATGGTTAATGGAGAAATGCACTTATCCAGCCAAAGAGTGCAAGGTGAGTAGGCCTCAGACCCCCCCACCCCCCAAGAGGGAGGGAATCTAGACTGGATAGTAGAGGAGGGAGGTCAGTAAGTATTAATAGCTGTGGCCCTGGGACCAGCTGCAGTGGTGGCAAGTGTAGTTTATCCTATTACCCCTGCTTTTTAAAGTTTCTCCTGGGAATCCTCGGGGAGCTATACCCAGAACTTAGGTGAAGATGTGGATCTAATCAGCATATTTGGTAGACATGGTAGGTGCTGACATCCTGTCTTGAATGTAATAGGTAAAAAAAAGACCTATCTTAACCTTCTTTCTTTTTAATGAGTTTAGACTTTACCCCATAGGCTTATTTTCCAATTAGATTTTCCATTTTGTGAATTGTCTGCTCAGGTCTTCTGTCTCTCCCTTTTGGGGTCTTAGTGTTTCACTGATTTATATAAACTCTTTACTATAAAAAGACATTAACTCTATTAGATTTGTTACAGACATTTTCCCAGTTTATATCTGTTCTTAATTTTTATTTTACACATTGACTGCCACACTAGAAAAAAGAGTTCTTTTTCCCTTGGGGCCCACAAGGCTCCCAGGATACTCAGGGTAAAGAGCCATGTGAATTAAATGTATTTCATGAGGTCTGGGCTCAAAACTAGAATGAGTTAGATACAATCAACATGGCCACTCATGTTAACGTCTGTCCACGTCAGTATGTTTCTTAGAAAGGGATGATGGCAATGTCAGGGTGCCAGCCAGTGCGTCTTAACGCTGTGGGTTTAGAAGGGTCCTACAAACTGCCATCTTCCTGAAGTCCACTCTCGTGGCCAGTCCCCAGAGTTGGAGCTTGTTTCTGATTTCTTGCCCATTATAACAATTCTCTGTGGTTGGGGGTCCTACCCTGAATCTTAGCCCTGTGGATCTTCAGTCTCTCAATGGGGCTCTAGTCCAAAAGGCCACATAGCTAGAACCACTGACTTTAAGCATTGTGTGCCATCGAAACAATGCTGTAAAGGCTGAGGTCACCGCCTTCGCCACACTTCTCTGATCTGTTCTGGTGTTACTGCCCTCTCAGTGCTTGGCCCGGCTGGCTCATTCCCTCTTCCCCACTGATCTGGCCCCTGGGATCAAGCCTGCCTCTCTTTTGAGTTGCATCAGAGGAGTCAGCCTGCAGTGGGTTCCACGCACCTACCTGAATTTTGACGTGCTGCCATCAGTCCAAGCATAAAGGTCCTGGCAGGCCGTACTGTTGTTCTGCTTATCCTCACGCTGCCGGAGCCCAATCCAGAAATCACCGTCAGACGCCAGGAGGTTTTCAATGAACTTTTCTATCAGTCTCTGCTCATCTTCAGACTCGATGCTGACTAGCTGGCCCCCGTCCCTCCTGCAGGCTTCTCTGGCTTCCTCAAAGTTCAGTCTTCGAGAAGTATCATGGAAGTAAATGACTTTATAACAAGGCCTCTGCGTCCCTCCCCGGCAGACTGGCTGCCCTAGAGAAAAAAGAAGCCGACCTGTTTCAGTGTCCCCAGCAGTAAACCAGGGCAGCGGCACTTGGAGGTATCTGAATGAAGCTATCCCTGGACAGAAGTTCTGATGACGTATCAGTGGACTGTCACCATGTCAGGTAAGCGTCCCAGAGCAAATTAATGCTCCGTTACCCATATTGTGTAGGGGGGGGGTCATCCCATTTTGTTTATTCCATTACAGATTCTTGAAAAGCAGACATTTTTGACTAGCCTTTAAAAGATAAAGGTTTAGGATTTCACTTAAAGATGCACAAATAGCACTGTCATTAGGGAGTCTTGGGGAATAGTGTGGCTTACAGTTAGTATGTCTGTTTGGTGGTTCCATCAGGTAGCAAAGGCCTTCTGAAGTTGGGCCAGGGCTCCTCTCTCCTGGAACTCCCTGCCTGACTATTTGCTCAGCCACTGGTGGAAGCACAAGGTAAGAGCTTCTGATCTGTGGAGTTTTCTGCAGCTGACAGTCACTTGACTTAACAGTTAAGGTTTCCTGAGCTCTAACTATGTGTCCCGAATGATAGTAAGGGCTTAACATGCGCAAATATACTTCATCCTATTTACCCCTCGTGACAGTCTCCTGATGTGGATATTATTTATGCCCCATTTTACGAATGAGAAAATTGAGGCTCGGGGAAATTAATCTGGTTAAGGTCACACAACTATCAGCAGCATCACCTGAGTCAGAACCCAGATCTAATTATGAAGTCGTGCTGGTACCAGTGTACCAGTGAAGTGTATATCCAGCTCCCCACGCCAGGCTCGAGTCGCACTGGGAGCCCATGTAATGTGTCTCATCAGACTGACAATGGATGGCTGAAGACCACCTCATGTGGGTGGGATTCTACTGAGAAGCCAGTAACAAATCCCTCACCAGCACATGCTGCCCTAGCTGATGCCTGTGCTGTTACAGCCTTGCTGCCACAGAGACATTAGCCTTGTTACACCTTGTTCAATTGTTCAATTAACAATTATTCAGCATATGCTCTGTGCCTGGCCCTGTACCGGGTGCTGGGAATACAGAAACAAATTCTAATTCCTAGCCCACAGCATCTGTTGCTGGATCCAAACACACAGAGTGAACATCAACAAGGGGAGTAGTCCCCGGAGCCCCATGCAGTGAGAGTGCCCAACCCTTGACTGTGGCTGTGAAGTGCTGCCGCAGAGCCGGGGTAAAGGACTTGGGTTTGTGGACCTCTTCCCAGACTTTCTGGAACATTCTCAGTTTCCTAACTTGTTTGGCAGCTGTGCAAGGAGCCAGATAGCTTTTGTTATCCCCAGTGCTGTCCAGAATACAGGGCAGAAGGCCACTGACAGTTAACCACATTATTGGTGCTCAACGGGAAGGAGCACAGACCCTCCAGAAAGCTCCTGTGAGCCTTTACTTCCTATTTCTTCTCTCATTGCCTTGGTAAATAAATTCTCAGTGGGCATCGGGTTATACGAGATTTGCATCTTTTCTGTTTTTCTTGGTATTATCTGGCTATGGCTGCTAAATAGAGAAACTCTGACTAGACTGGTCTACCAGCAAACCAGGAGGGCTCAAAAGCCAGACATTCCCCGAGGAGGGGTTGCAGAGAGGCTGAGGCTGGGCGGGGGGAGGGGGGGGGGGGGGCAGCCGAGCCAGCCAGCTTCCGCGATTCCCTAAAGCGGGCTCCAAACCCGGCAGAGGAAAGGCAATGGAGAGCTCCCAGCAACACCCCCAGCCTGGCCCCCAGCGTAACATAGCTGCAGTTGAATTTCCTGGCAGCCCCCACTTTTCCACGCTGGACTGTCAAGGGAACACGTAACACCTTCAACGAGTTTCCTGTGTGGGCCAGCCTGGTCACACATCCCAAGTCCGCGCGGTAAGTGGTAGGGACAGCCAGAGCTGGAAGGAGGCCCAAAGGCCCATCTGCTTCCCCTGCTGTAGGAAGTGTCTTCAGGAAGGGGAAGGGCGGGAGGGTCTTCTTTTCCCCACGAACAAGGACCGAGTCCCTGCATCTCTAACTCAAGCAGCTCGGTTCAGTCGCCCTCCCCTTTTGCCGCCCTGCGCCGAACCCCCATCCTGAAACTGATTTTAGATTCTTTAATCTGCTGTGCCAGCCGGGATCCCTGAGTGGAAGAAATTCTCAGTCTCCTCCGTCCCACTTGGCCAAGCTGTCACCTCCCGCAAAGGCACCCGAGAAAAGGGCGCGGATGCTCGTCTCCACCCCCGACGTAAGGAACAACCGCACCAGGCGGCAGCCAGAGCACCGTGCGTCCCCTGAGGCCCACGTCCAGCTGCGGTACAGGACCCGGGAAGCAGAGAGTCTCCCGGAGTCAGGCGGGCCAGTCCCGCGCTGCTGGGCTATTTCCCCGATCTCTAAGCGCTCATTCTGGGCGCTGGATCCAGCCATCCTCTCCCCAGAAGAGGCGAGGAGTAACCGGCTCAGCAGATCCAGAGTCCTCCCGGCCAAGCCCGGCTGCCCCGGAGCGGGCAGTAGGTGGGGCGGGTTGGTGAGCCTGCCCCGCGGGAGTCCCAGACGCTACCACGGCCGCGCTCAATGCAGCGGGCCGAGGGGACACCGCTGGGGCAAGTTTGTCTCCTGCCCCACCTCGCCTGTGTCCTTCGGCCCCCCAAGTAACCCTGGCCCGGAACAGACTTCAGCGGTTCCAGGATAGGCAGGGAACTGGGCCGGCCCGGGAGACGCGCGGGACACAGACGCCAGATACTTCCAAGCAGGGGACTCCGAAGGGCTGAGTGTGGGAATGGGCAGGGGGCGCTTTCCCATTCCCACCCCATGGGGGTCCAGGGAGCAGGAGGGGCGACCCCAGAGGCCGCAGCTGCGGACCAGTGGGTGCATCCTCGCCCCGGCACCAGACCCAGCCCGGCTAGTACTCACCGCTCAGCAGGCGACCGCTCGCGTCCCGCGGCCCCGCCAGCAGCAGGGCCAGCAGCACCGCCTGCAGCGCCGCTCCCGGCTGCATGGCCCGACTGGGGCGCGCCCTCGGACACCCCAGCGCGGCGGCAGTGGAGCGGGCTGACCGGCTGCGGCGTGCGCGACCACTGCAACCGCGGCAGCCGCATCTCCCGAGGACCCACGGACTAGGCACCGGGAAGAGGAGGGAGCGCGCAGAGTCATTTGGTCGCCCCTCCGCCCCCTGGGACGTCACTGCGGCGGGGCCTGCCCTGCAGACTGGCCCGCCCCCCGACGGCCTCCTCCAGAGAGCTGGACGCCGGGCAATCCGCCAGCTGGAGGGGAGCGCGCCGCAGAGGGGGGCCAGCTCCCCGCCCCAGCCCGAGCTTCCCAGGGAGATCTCGATTTGCCTAAGTCGCAGGGCGGAGGAAAACCCCTGTCTGGCTTCTCTGAAAGATGATGAACAGCGCAGGGTAGCTAAAATCCTTACATCTCACCCCTCCTCCCCGGGACCACCACCAAGCGCACTCAGCTGTGCGCTCCTTGGGGAGAGGCAGGTCACCAATACCCGCCTGGGACTCGGTTGGCGGCAGTCCCGGCAGGCACTCGGGGCTACACCCGAGAGAGGAACGGTCAGATGCAGACAGCGGACGCTCCAGCCAGCAGTGTGTCCACCCGCGGGAAAGTCGCAGGACCCAGCACAGGCAGCGCCCAGGGACGGTGTCTGAGTTGGCGTTCTCCAGACTAAAAGGAGAGCGGCTTCCATCAGAAACCAGAGGCTATCCCAGATTTCAGCCAGGATTCTGCCTTTTGCAGTGCACGTGGTGGGAGGTGGGGGCGATGGTGGTGAAGTTCAGCCTCGAACTGGTGGTAGAGGAAAGATGACCTGTGCCCCAGGAAAGAACCAAATTCTTTCCTCTGGGAAAGCATTTCTGACCAACCTAGCCCTCGGTGCGCGCCAGCTCTAGTAAGCTGCCGCCGTAGTTGTGTTTTGCAGCGGCTTCTTACAGTTAACAAAATGTTTCAAATGTACTTGAATCTGCTCCAGTCTGGAGTCTAAGGTACTAAGTAGCAGACAGTGGACTGATCCCCTTGCCTTTTCTGCTAGACCATGCTGCTGTGGCACATAGTACGAGCCCTGTCTGGGCCACAGGGTTCTGATTCTGGTTCCAGTTTGCTGCAGCTTACCTACTCACTCAGTGACAGTGAAGAAGGCAGTGATGCTTCTAAGGCCTAGACTCAGAGCCACTGCAAGTCCAGACGGACCGGCCTGGCGCGCACGCTGCGGGTGGGATCAATTTCAGTCTCAGCCAAGAATATGGGGAAGTCAGCAGCATCTGTAGATGAGGGCTGACCTTTATGGCAAGTTCATTTAGAGCCCTTCTCTAGATCCCAATTAGAATGGCTCACATCCAACACACATTCTTTCCAGAAATTCTTGGTAACAAAGACCCAACTGTTACGGTGAAAAGAAGCAGTTGAGTTAGCCTCTGATATTGTTTCAGATCCTGCTTTTCTTTATTTAATGTCTGTGTGGCCTTTGCCAAGCCTCTGTGCGCCTCTCAGTTTCACCTGTCCCGTGATTCACGTGTGTTTGAGTGGGGCGGAGCTGCTTCAGGCCATTGACACACTTGTGAGAAGAGGAGCTGCCCCAGGTGCTCTAGGCTGAAGCAGAGCTGGCTGGCCCCGCCTCCCTCAGGCAAATGCCCAGCTGAGCTGCAGATGTGTTTTAGACCCTTCATTACGCACCTGTCGGTGCACGGAGGTGGTGCCAAAGGCTGGTTGCCAAGGAAGCTCACAAAGTGGAATTTTTCTTGGTAAAATAACCTTGGTCCGGGATCGGATTCTTAGTTTGACACGCTCAAACTCAATCTATCTAAGGGACTAGTATACACATTGAAAAATATATCCATCAGACAGCCTGATGTTTTCATTGACCTGTCAGGCACATACTCTTCCCTGGGCAAAAACAGATTTCCCTGTGAGCATGGAATCAGAATAAAGGGATTTAGTTACATGATTTAAAAGTTTAGGCTTTGAAAGCCTGCTGTGTCCATCTTCATGACAGAGATCTTTCTGTCTGACGGACAAATACATCAACCTGACAGGGTACCTTTTATTCTTGATGGGCCTGGAATGTGACTGCCAACTTAAAATTTTTTAATTTAATTAATTAATTTATTTTTGAGACAGAATCTCACTCTGTTACCCTGGGTAGAGTACTGTGGCATCATCATAGCTCACAGCAAACTTAAACTCCTGGGCTCAAGTGATCCTCTAGCCTTAGCCTCCCAAGTAGCTGGGACTACAGAGATTGGCCACAGCAATCCCCCCACTAATCCCCCACTAATTTTTCTATTTTTAGTAGAGATGGGCCTCACTTTTGCACAGGCTGGTTTCCAACTCTTGAGCTCAAGCAATCCACCCACCTTGGCCTCTCAAAGTGCTAAGATTAGAGGTGTAAGCCAATGCACCTGGCCCAACTTTTAACTTTTTAGATTTCTCTTTTCTAGGCCTACCTTCCTTTTGCTCCAAATATTTTTCTCCAAATAGTGTGTGCCAGAAACTTGACCCCTAATATCCATCTTTCATTTCTTTTAGTGATAGAGTCCCTGGATTTTAGCTAAGTAGGTGATATAAAGATGATTATGGCTTGATATGACCCTGTGATTAAGTTTTGATCAGCAGGTTGGGAGCTGTGTTTTGCAGAGGCTATTCCCAGAGTTTCAGTTGAAGGATGGTCCTAAATAGAACTGTAAACACTGGGGACCAAGATAGAACCCTGACTAGGACTGTCCTTTGGACAATACAGAAAGGCCAAATCCTTGACCTTCTCTTTTCCAATAGACACATATACCAAAGGAACTAACCCTGGAAAATGAGGAAGTCTGGCACTGTTACTGTGCACATGTGTGTAAAACAGGCATGTGAAGCCTGTTATTTACAGAACTAGAAGCAATTCATTCCTGACTTCAGGATCATTCTAGAAATGGAATAAACCAAATTTTGCAAAAAGGGATACTTTTTAAAAAAGAAAACAAGAAGAGTTTTAAGTTTGGGGGACTGCCCTTTCATCTGTATTTCCTTATGAACTGTTTTTACTGGTAGTCTACACCTTGGGGCACATAACCCCCCTGTTTCTTGTTTATCTGATATTCATAACTTAGATCTAATATGGAAATTCCAGGAATATGCTTCAAATAAAGACAGGATAAATAGGAGTTAGAGAATGTGTCAGGTGAAAGGATGATTATGCTGTAGTATCAAACATAGTCATATCCAAGACATAAAATAGACACAAAGACTCAGTAACTGGTAAAATTCCTGCAAGTCTGCATATTTTACTTTTATTTCTTTGTCTATTTTAACACAAGTATTTACTACTGGTAAATTTCCTGGAGTCTGCATGTTTAACTTCTACTTGTCTAATGTTTTTCCGTGATCTCACGCTCCTGATGTAAGAGGAGGTGGTTTAGAAAGTGAAGACAGAAGTGAGCCCTGCTCTACCGCGCACCAAGCAGGTCAGTCCAAGGCTCTGACGGCTTCATGCTCCTCTTTATCTGACTCCGATGTCACTTTCCTGTCGGTAGTAACATCATACGGTTTCAATACACAGAACTCTGTGGCATGCAAACAACTTTTAAAAATTTCCCCAATAAAAATTAACTGTTGGGGATTTGGAATATGCATTAGGTTTTACAACCAAGTGTAAACTTCTATGTGGGAAAAGGGATTATACGGTGAAGTGTGATTTGAAGGGCCTGGGACTCCTCCTACCTCAAGAATCAAACTCCTGAGATTTCACTATCGGCAACTGATTTCTTTGGATTACCCACTGTCCCATTTATTCAGCCTTCTGTTAAAGTGCAAATATTCCTGGGGGAGATAATAGATATTCTGCTACTAAAACTTTACTATGAATACACTTTCCAGTTCTTTCTTTCCGACAGAAGGGGACCCAGATTATTCTAAGAAGATCTGTCCAGAGGAGTTGGCAAGGGAGCATCGGGACCTGGGGCTGAGAGGAAAGGGTGAAGAGATGCAAAGAAGGGCAAAATTTTATATTATTTATTCTATAATTGTGTCTAAAATATTGACAATTTTTAGAATGTTTGTAAATTACTAAATAGTATGAAAAATCACATTCTAAATTAGCTTATTCTGAATTACATGACATTTTTGAACTAAATTTTTGGTTACAAATATTTTTTAAACTCCAACACGTAGGAATTTAAAATCATGTAAGCCTCATGTTCTCAACCTGTGGGCTGCAACCCCTTTGGACTGTATTAAAGGGTTATGGCATTAGGAAGGTTGAGAACCACTGATATAGGCAGTGTGCTAGGATTTTGAGTGGCCTAATTTCTCATAGAGTTTATAATATAGCTATAGATAAGACAAAAAAGTATGTGAAAAGTTAAATAACTTACAAGAGCTTACATAATTATAAAATATGGGCACAACGTGGTCCATAATCAGTTGCCAATAGAATGACACAAAGAGTTCCTATAAGAATTTCAGAGGAAGATGATGTCACCATGAAATGGAATGGAATTCAAGGCTTCAGGATGGAGAAGAGAGGTAATACATAAAAGGAATTGATTAAGCATTTAAATTACTAGACTTGTCTGTGCAGGCTGTGAAATAGTGTTTTACTCTTAGGTAAAACTAGGAGTATTACGTTTCATTGCAGGACAGTTAATGAGCATTAGTAGACAATACAGCCCAGGTGATTAAATGATCTTTTCATTTTTTTTCCACAAGTTTTTAAAGGTAGTGTAGACACATTCATTCTTCTTTAAGCCTGTAACTTTAATAACATGAAAGGAAGTCAGCCTCAATACCAATGAAGAATAGAAATTCCATTAATTTCTGTTCTTCTGGTAGAATCTTCATAGTTGAGAACCTCCCTACATCGACCACCTCCTTAAGTTGACCTAGTTTTCATAGACTGGACGTGCACCACTCAATGGAAGTTTCCTATGTTGATGAGTTTGCTACAGTCCCTGGGGTGGTCAACTTACAGAGGTCCTACTGTAAGCTGAAGCTAATGGTGAGTTAGCCACATTGGGTTTTGGTCATAATGTAAACATGGAGAAATTTCTTTCCTTTTTATGAAAAAACATTTTATTATTACTATTTTTACTATATATTAATGAATAGACCAGATTGCATTTTCTCAAATGACAAATGAGGCACATTTTCTCTCATTCCCTGGAGAACCTCAGTATCATCTGTCCTTGGGAGGATTCAGTTTCTTACGACAAGTGTGATACTGCCCACGAGGATACCAATGGTGCTTAGCAGGAAAGAACATTTCGCTAAATTGTTCTATCATGGGTCCTTGCTCAAGGTTTTTGCTTTTTTCTGCTAATCTGGTTTTCTGCACTTGATCGTGTGTTTCTTCCTTATTACTCACAGGACCCGGCAGAGGGATAAGGTCTGTGTGTTCACGTGGCATGTCCACGGAAGGGGGGCCTTCTATCATCCTGCCCTCAGATGCCGAAGCAAGCTCTACTTTGCAATTGTAGGCATCTGGTCGAGGAGAATACAGAGCTTCATGACAAACACAACAGAAAGCTCCGTTCTGGATTGGAAACAAACGTTTCAAGGTAGTTCTCTTAGAGAGCACCCATTTTACTGCTGCTACAGCCATGGTGTATCCTGATACTTATCAGGTGGGATGAGAAAAGATGTTTTGAAGAAAAACTGCTTTTAAAATCTGCTTAAAAAATAAAATAAAATAAAATAAAATCTGCTTCGAGGCACACCAATTTTCATCCCTTGACAGCTTGTCATTGTGAGCCCACCATCGTGTTTCAATCTGGGTCCGATCAGAGAAATCTCTTAAGGGTGGGTTAATGATTAACTAGTGCTAGCTGCTTCCATTTGAACTCTTCCAGATCACGTCGCCTGTGTTATTCTAGCATTATTCCAGGCGTGAGGGTGTTAACTCATCCCTGAATTTGCTCCATAGAAACCCTGGATATGCCACTGGTGGGCTGGGAGATGGTGAGCAGAAGACTTGCTGATTCACTAAAGAAAGGGGAGCCAGGCTCAGCGCCTGTAGCTCAAGCAACTAAGGCACCGGCCACATACACCAGAGCTGGCAAGTCTGAATCTAGCCTGGGCCTGCTAAACAACAATGACAACTACAATCAAAAAATAGCCGGACTTTGTGGCAGGTGCCTGTAGTCCTAGCTACTTGGGAGGCTGAGGCAAGAGAATCGCTTAAGCCCAGGAGTTGGAGGTTGCTGTGAGCTGGATGCCACAGCACTCTACCCAGGGGGACAGCTTGAGATTGTCTCAAAAAAAGGGGGGGGGTCAGGTGTGGGTAGGGAAGTAGGGAGCCCTGAGGGGATCGTGGCAGGTGACTGCCATAGGATGAAAGGGAGGGACAGAGAATCTGCAGAGCTTCAAGGCTGATCTGCCTCCAGTTGGCACTAACTGACACTCACATATCCCCCAGACAGGCCAGTGGGTACACAAGCTTTAATATCCATGAGGAGAAGATATTCAAAGCAAGAAATTCCTAACAGAGCAGGGTGGATTTTTAGGAGATGTGAGGGTAAGAGGCAGAGTGAGAAAGCAAAGTATGTAAGATGAGAATATTTCTGACAGAAGTAAACTTACTTTGCCTTCTGTACTTTGGCCCGTGGTTTATAAGGGCGAGAAACCAGCTCTTTCTGAAAAAATAAGACAAAAATCAAAAAGGTAAAGCTTTACTTTTTGCATTCACTGATATTGACTCACTTGAAAAAAATCTAATATAAAATCATCACAGAGTTTATAAAGACTAGCTTCTAAAATCTGGAAACGGTGGGGACAGAAATGTTCCAGATTGGGGAATTAGGGGCTCATACAGCAGTGTGTGTTTTGTATAGCCACAAGCTTACACAGTGCTATTATTGTTTTTATTAGGTTTGTTTTTCTTTACTTAGTATTTATTTTTGTGTGATCTGGGAAAGATAAATAATTGTTAAACAAATATTAGTACTGAATTTGCCCATGCTAATATCCTACAACTTTATGACATGTGGATAATAAACTCCACTGACATGCTACCTCATTGCTTTTTTTTTTAAGAGACAGAGTCTCACTTTGTCGCCCTCGGTAGAGGACCATGGCATCACAGCTCACAGCAACCTCCAGCTCCTGGGCTTAGGTGATTCTCTTGCCTCAGCCCTCTGAGTAGCTGGGACTACAGGGCACCCGCCACAAAGCCCAGCTATTTTTTGTTGTTGTTGTTGCAGTTTGGCAGGGGCTGGGTTCGAACCTATCACCCTCGGTATATGGGCCGGTGCCCTACTCACTGAGCCACAAGCCCTGTGTCATGAAACCTCATTTCTCATGCTGGTAGAGTTGTAAACTCTGAGATACCTTTGGTTTATCAGGGATTACCAAATTTTCTGATGTTATACCCTGTCCCTCTTGTGTATATAGAGGGCTCTGGACTATGAGTGTCTCATTTAAGGGGTCAATCTTTAAAACCTTTGGGAATTTGGCACAGTTTCACCTTTCGGATAGACTAATCTGAATGCCTCCATAGTGCTCTCACCAAGATCCTCTCCTCTCTTTGTTTTCTTAAGAGTTGGAGAATCTCCTCTCTCGTTTTAGCCTGTATAAAGGAAAAAAGTGGGTGAGTCTTTTGACTTAATAACAAAGCCTCGTGCCTATGGGAGATAGAATTCTTCCATTTTCTTGTATCGGCGGAATTTTAACATACTTTTTCAGGATAGATTTATACTTTTTAATTTATACCAAAATGCAATTTTTATTCTAGAGAATGCTGTTTTACAGAATAATTTGGTTTTGATCCTAAATGGGTTTTTCGGGCTCATTTAATAATAACGAACTTTTATTAAGGCCTTACTGCATCAACTATGCTAAGGCCTTTATAGACATTATGTCATGATTCTTTCCTAACAACGCAGAAGTTTGGTGCTATTATTCCATTTTACAGGTGAGGAAACTGAAGCCTAGTAAGGTTAAATGGCAACGATTAAGGGGCAGAACTGGCTTTGATCCCACCTCCATTTGATAACAAAGTCCAAGCTATTGACCACCACACTACCTTGCCACTAAATAGTAGCAAGACACAGGAAGACCAAGCTCAGACGGCATCCCACTAAGTCAGCCCCCCACAAAGAAGGCTGTCCTTAGCTGCTTGCATGTGAACCAAGTCTTATCCCCTCCTCTCTCCTTTCCTTATCTCAGATATCAAGACAGGCACATTCTCAACAAGTTAGGTACGTTTTCCTCAGCATACAAAACTAATTTATAGAAAGATGTGTCAACATGTTAACTATAAAAACAGGCAGATAAAGGTTCGGCAGTTTTTTCGTAGCGTCAACCTGTATTAAGTTGTGGAGACAGCCAGGCAGAAATCGCATCTGGTGCATTGGGAGACCAAAAGAAGAACCTAACGCATAAAACTTTAGATCACCAAATAGAATAAATTGTCTTTATGCCAGGCCAGAAGAAAGAAATGAGTGAGAATAAGACACAGATTTGCCAGAGCCAAGAACAATTCTAAGTGATCTATCCCTCCACATTTTTTGAGCACTGTATTGTTTTCCTAGGGCTGCTGAAACAAAGTATCACACACTGGCTGGCTTAAAACCACACTATTTATTGTGTCACAGTTCTGGAAGCTGGGAGTTCGAAATCAAGTTGTCAGCGGGGCCTCGGTTTCCTTGCCTCTTTCCAGTTTTTACTGCGTCGCTGGCAATCTGTGGCACTCCCCGGCTTGCATAGCCCCACCTCTGCTTAGTTGTCACGTGGCACCCTCTCGCTACGTCTTTGTCTTCACGTGGCATCTTCTTCTTTTTTTTTTTTTGAGACAGAGCCTCAAGCCGTCATCCTGTGTAGACTGCTGTGGCATCACAGCTCACAGCAACCTCCAACTCCTGGGCTCAAGTGATTCTCCTGCCTCCACCTCCCAAGCAGCTGGGACCACAGGCGCCCACCAGAACGCCCAGCCATTTCTTGGTTGCAGCCGTCATTGTTGTTTGGTGGGCCCAGGCTGGATTCGAACCTGCCAGCTCAGGTGTATGTGGCTGGCGCCCTGGCCGCTTGAGCCACAGGCACCGACCCCATGTGACATCCATCTTCTTATGAGGACTCAGCCATCCTGGACTGGGGCTCTCTCTACTCCAGGATGGTCTCTTCTTAACTAACTTCTGCAAAGACCCTATTCCCAAATAAGGTCATATCCCGTGGTACAGAGAGTTAGAACTTCAATGGATATTTTTTGGGGGGTATATTTCAACCCATAACAAGCACCTATGATATATTAATATATTAGTAACATTGCTGTGCTAATGACTGAACAGAATATTCACCTGTCTGCCGACTTATGGAGAAAAGGACAGGTGAACAGTTTTAAATGTGTTATGATGGTTTTCGTATGGAGTACAATTAAAGCACTGAAGATCCGGAACCCTTAATTCAGAGCAGGGTGTGTGTGGAGTAAGGGTGGGGACTCGGAGGATGTCCCGGAGAAGGTGATATCCACACTTAGACCTGGAAGCGGTAGTTGCCAGGTAATGGAGGCAGGATAGGAAAGAAAGCTTTTGAGGCAGAGAAAACAGGGTGTGCACAGCAGCTGCTGCATTGCTAAGCAGCTTTTCAGGGCGATTCCCTGGTGCTGGTGGTTTGGTGGTGAAGAAGGAAGAAACCTCAGGCGTGGTCACTGAGACACGTGAGAGGGGGCACGTGCGCTGGGCGTGGTCACTGAGACACGTGAGAGGGGGAACTGCGCTGGGCAGCTGGGACCAGCACCTGGGCCGGGCTTGGTGGGTGCCTCAGCTTCGCATCCTTCTGCTCAGGTCCTGGGACTCTTGTCTTTTATGAGCCTACAGAGTTTTAATTTATTTATTTTGACACAGGATCTCTACTTTTTCCTTGACTTTTAGGTATCGTCTATTATAGTTACTGAAAGAAAAAAATTCAGGGCGCTTTTGAAAACTAAGCTAAGGGTCATCATACTTGTCAATTGTGTAGATTGAATAAAATTATGTCTGTAGATGAGGACCTGGGACATTTTTAAGGTAGGTCTTCAATTGTAGTTTCTTTTCCAAGTGTTCTATTACACATGTACTCAATGGGGGGAACTAATTGCTCTCCTACTGTGATTACTTAGCACTTTATACCTTTATTTATTTTCCCTTCCCTGCTCAATCTCTTGGTTGCTACCACGTCGCTTTCAGAATCTCGCTCAGCCTTTCTTAGAGCTTAGCGGTGCTTTGTATATGAAGTTCAATAGTTTTTGTTGAATTGAATTGACTGAGGTGTGATGTATGAAAGTCATCATTGTATCGTCTAATATACAATTATGAGTCTAAGCAAAAAAAAAAAAGTTTTAGAAAGTGAAATCAAACAGTGGGAAAGTTTAGTTCTTAAAGTCCCCTGTGAACAAAATTATATGATGATTTTCCTTGTAACTGCTGGGAAACTACAGGCAAGTTATATTGCTATATGCTTCTAATGTAAAAAGGCAAATAATTAGTTAAAAGATTCAAAAGTAACAACAGAACAAGAAATATATTCATTCCTTTTTTTTCTTTGACTTCAGGTTATTTTTTATTACAGTAGATTTTTGTACCTAATCAGTTTTATTATATGACATAATGTGCTAAAAACAAAGATTTTGGATGTGATTTGATCTCCTGGGAATAAATAACAAAAGTACCATAAACAACTGACACCTAAACAAAAATATCGTGGACTATTTTGTTTAGATTCAAAATGAAAACACTCTGGACTATTTTAAGAAATCTCTGCCAGGGCTTGGTGCCCGTAGCTCAGTGAGTAGGGCACCAGCCACATACACTGAAGGTGGTGGGTTTGAGCCCAGCCTGAGCCTGCTAAACAACAATGACAACTGCAAGAAAAAAATAGCTGGACATTGTGGTGGGCGCCTGTAGTCCTAGCTACTCAGGAGGCTGAGGCAAGAGAATTACTTACTGCCAATAAAGCTAAATACAATTCAGTGGTAAGAGAAAATACTTACAATTTACATCAGTATGAAGAATAACTTCCTTGTTAATTTTATAACAAGAAAAGGATTCTCATTTCTAATCCTAGGTGTCTGGGTTGAGCTCATTCATGAAATTTTATTTTGGTAAGACATTTTAATCATTTAATTAATTCTTAAAATAGTATTATAAGGTCAGAATTTATAATATCTTAATATTAAATATTTACTTATATTTATATGACATGTTTTTTTACATGTATACTATTCCTAAAAACATAAATTATGGAATAAAATCAATTCCAGGAAGTTATGATGTGCTAATATATAAATTTGATGTCTCATAGAGGGTTAGTGAGTTTCATTGTCATGTTAAGAATGAAATTCCTTCACTCTCCCTTTTTGGTTTTTCAGAGACAAAAAGCTTGGGTGGCAACAACATGGATTGGTGGAGCCAAACACAACTGGGTTTGAATCCCAGTTCTCCTGGGTAATTCATGGTAAGAACTGTCTTAACTATTTCTCCTTTCCTCTCTCCAACTATATAGTAATCAGTAACCTACAGGGTTGAAGTTTGTGATCTTGGGTAAATCAAAAACCACCTATCGGAGTCTTGGATTTTTTATCTCTGAGGAAGGTGGTTATGAAAATGGGAGATATTACAACAATTTCTCTTTCTTTTCTTTTTTTTTTTTGAGACAGAGTTTCACTACATTGCCCTCGGTAGAGTATCACAGCTCACAGCAACCTCAAACTCTTGGGCTTAAGAGATTCTCTTGCCTCAGCCTCCCAAATAGCTGTGATTACAGGCTCATACCACAATGCCCAGCTGTTTTTTTTGTTGTTGTTGTTATTGTTATTGTTGTTGTCATTGTTGTTTAGCAGGCCCGGGACGTGTTCAAATCCACCAGCCCCAGTGCATGTGGCCAGCGCCCTAACCACTGAACTATAGGCACTGAGCCACAACAATTTCTTAATGTAATACATAGCATATGATGAGCATTTAATAGATGATAGCTATTATAACACTATTATTCCTACAAGAGACAATTTTTCTTTCAATGATTTCAAAATGTTGAAAAGAGTGAGGGGAAAAAAGAGAAGGATGGCTTGTCTATGTTCCGTGTGTAGGCGTGAAGGCATTTGGATGAGTCAACCTCTGACCTGTGGATTAGTTGGAGGCAGGAGAGGAGAAAGAAGGAGGGATGTGTCATGTATTATTTGCCATTAAACATGCAGTGCAAATTCCTCTGTCTACAAATTCTCCACTGTATTACAAACTTTTCCTCCGTTAATCCTCAGTTATAAAAACGCTCTTAATAAAGACCAGATTTTATAAGAAAGGCCCTTTCTTCTCAAAACCTGGTTCTAATATGAAACTTGATTTCTTCCCTAGATTCTAATGAAAAGTTTGAGACTGAAATAGTCATCAAAAATAACACGAGGTAGTGTTCATGTCTCTGATTATCTCTCTATGTTACCAAAAGAAATATTCTCTCAACCACTATGATATGAAAGCCAAATTACTGAATATAATTTTAAGAATGTCTTAGAAGAGTATTGAATTGATTTCAAAATCGGCTCTTTGCTTAGTTACCTGGCAATCATCCCAACCCTTAGAGAATCAAGAAACTCTTTTTTTTTTTTTTTGCAGTTTTTGGCCAGGGCTGGGTT